ACTTTTGCTTATTTTCTTCAATCTCACCAACCTACATCACAATATCAAAATCACATATCTAATTATTTATCAATTACATAAACATTATATTATTAATTATTGATAGGGTGTCTGTTTTTGCTTTTCAGCAGAAATCAAGCCGTTGGCAACACAATTCATGCCGTTGGGAGTGCAATTTTGGACCAATTCTCTCACTGTAGGACTGTAAGTTTAAAAAAAATGTAACATAATCAATTTTCCTTCCTCTTTACAACGCGCCTAGCAAGCCCTTAATTAACCAAAAAAAATTACATCTTTATTAATAACAAATTAATTATTAAACAAAAATATTAAGGCCCCGTTCGGGAGGGATTAAAATCCAATTAAAATTGAAAATATGGCCGTTATTGGGTCCCACTCGTCTAATAAAAGTCAACAATAACGGCTATATTTTCAATTTTAATCAGATTTTAATCCCTCCCATACAAGACCTAAAAAGTGTGTGACATGTTTGGTATCGTGCAATAAGCGTAGTATTAGACTATTAGTATTATAATGTGTGGCGTATGGTGACTTGGACAAGTATTATTTAAAAAAAAAATCACTGGAAATAGAATCTGCTCCTCTGCCACTCTGCATTCAAGAGGAGGACCGGCCTCAGTCCAGCGAGACTACTGGCCCATTTTTACACCATAAAAAAATGTGAAAATTACATCAGGACATACTCTTAAATATTGTATTTCAAAAATGAGATTTAAAGTTTACTTAGAGTGTGTTTGAGTCACATTTTGAAAAAATATATTTTGAAATAGTAAAGTGATGGAGAACGTGTGGTTGAAAAAGAAAGAAAAGTTACTGATGTAATGAAAAATATTATTTTATTGAAGAATATGTAGTTAAAAATGAGTAGAAGAATGATAATGAAAATTTTAATGTGACTCAAATAGGGGCTTAATCATAAATTAGATAATATTTCAACAATTAATATTAATATTATATAAAATATTCACAACACCTAATTCCATCAAATCTACTAAATTTAATCCAAATCCTAAAATTTTCTCTCTCTATTTCTCTCCCCCTCTTCCCCCCTCTCTTACACGATGGGCAATCATTCGAGCCGGTAGACCTCTCTCCTATCTCTCTCTATTCTTATCGTCGG